TACTACTACTACTACTAATCCTACTATACGACGACGGCTACTACTACACTTGCAGGACTACTACCACCACCAGGATTGCGACTGCTATGCCTACGTGTCCCCACTGCCCCTCCTCCCACCCCACCTGCTAGTCCAACTACTATCCATAGTAAAACGCTCAGTACCACCACCGCGAGCGACATGTTCTACTAGATACTTTCGCTTTTGCTGCTTGGATTAGAAGTTGCATTCTCTTAGTGTTCCCGGTCACTAATCCTAACCAGGCTTACCATGACTCCGACTATCGTTCTGCTTAGCACGAGGCAAGAGCGCCTTTTCGATGTGCTGTATGTGAAGGCGGAGCAGGCGTTTCTATCCGCCAACAAAACGGGGGGCACGTCACTGTCCCGAGATTTAAGCCCAAATGAAATGGAATCCGGATTTAGACCCCAGCCCTGACTTCCAAACCCTGACAATGGAACCTGTCGACGTGATTGTGGCTACACCGCCACATCCACAGCAGTAATAGCATCTGTACGGAAGGTTTCAATTGTAAGTACAATCTTCCTAGACATGCTAGTGCTAAAACAGTGGTGGCAGCAAGACTAGCGGTGAAACTAGTAGTTGGACTACGAGTAGTCATGGTGCCAGGACCAAGACTTCTGCCGCTGCTACTTCTCCTACTGCTGCGACGACGACTACTTTTTCCGCTACCCACCAAGACTAAACTGCCAACTCGACTGATAAGAACTGCCAGTCCGTGCCAAGGGACCAGTTTCGAACTTCCGGGTTGCTAACTTTCAGCCCCGAGGCCAAGAATTTGGAACACCTCAAAGAGCATCTCGTCACCCCCACTCAGGGTTTTATGGCTTGATGTTTTGAGGAATTTGCAGTGTCCACAGAGTCAAGGGTTAGAGCTTTGAGAGTTTGTAGGGTGTAAAGGGTTGAAAGGGAGTCTAGGCTTCATAAGTTTCACCTTTCGCCGGGTTGCGACAGAGCTGGGTTGAACAAAGTTGATGCTTTATGGGGCTTATGGTTACGGGTTTAGGGTTTGTTCCAGAGCTTGCGTCTCAGAAGGCCCAAGTGGGAGCATTGTTCTAGAGCTATGCGGTGCTTACGGTGGTTTGGTCGGCGAGTGCCAAAAGCAGGAGAAGGAGAACCGCCGGCAGATTGCCGAGTTCGAGGAGCCGCCCACTCAGAGGGCACAGGGTTCGAGGCTGTTTGGAGGGTTTGGTGAGCGAGGCACAAACACGCCAATCTTTGCCATTCGAAAAGTTGTGAACAAAAAAAACGTCGCCAAAAACAGCTGTGAATCATTGTCTGTTTCTCTGAGGGTTGAAGCCTTGGTCTTGAGCTGACCTTGTATATACACCGCTGCCATAGGGCCCTTGAGCTAACCGAGTAGCTTCGCAGTTCCCTGGGAAAAGACCGCCAATTTCAAATTGGTAGCGGAGGCTGGTTCCCCTCGGCGGGTCCTGCCGAGCGGGTCTTAGTACCCTATGATCGTCGGACCTGGGTGAGCCTGATATCGACCCATCGCATTCCTCTCCAGTTTTCCATACCATTGATCTTTACCGACACTGAGCGTAGCAGGTCTACGTTTCTCCCGCAGTGCAGGCTCGAGTACTCCTTTGGAGACTCGTGGTGGTTCGTACATTTATGACGGACAGCCCAGTACATTCGATGACTGGGAATTTCGGACCGCGATGCGGCTGAGGCTATATGAGGATGCGATACGCGCTAGGACGCGATCGCAAAGAAAGGGCGACAAGACTGCCGACCCGGAAGAGTCCGATAGCGAGGTCGAGGCTGCCAGCCCGATCCGCGCAGCAGCCACAGCCCCCCGTACCTGGAGAGGACGGGAAGTCTGAGGACTCGGGTCAAGTCAAGAGCGCGACCGCAGCGCTGCCCATGGATGAAAGCACGACCTACGCCGTCAAGGCGAGGACCGAGATGGTGCACAGGATTCTGGAGGGACTTCGTGATGAAGCCCTCGAACTTGCAACGGGTGTCGGTATCGAATCCCTGGCGGCTCCTGGAGGACTTCGCGACTTTATAGACAAGATGCGCAGCACAGATTTCTCTCGCGCCGCGGATAATCCCTCGATAGCAGCATCGAGCTTTCCGATGTCTGTTGAGTGAGTTGCTGCTTGAATTTTCGGGGCTATCCAGACAGGAAGCCCTGGTGGTTAAGGCTTGCACGAGTAACAGTCGCAACTTCGAGTTCGCGTGTGCTACCCTTGTGATAGCCGAGTGCATCTACGTGAGGGCCGTACCTTGGGTGGATCCTGCCAGGACCACCGCCGCGGCGGTAAGAGCCCGAAGCATGGCCCTAGCCAAAAGGGGTACACACGCGGCAAAGGCAAAGGTTTCGTCAGGAGGGTCTACATAGCCGAGGTTATGGCCATGGCCTATCCCGAGGGAAGGCCCAGAGGCTTCGGATATGACGCGTAGTCCTACCCGGCGGCCGAAAGGGAGGACGAAGAAGACGAAAGCTACGAAGAAAACGAGCTCGATAAACACGAAGCTCTTGCTCTCAAGTTACTAGAGGAACTCGACCCAGAGTCCTTTGAATCCGGCCACACCATTCAGCTGCAATTGGCCGCCAATGCAGCGTTGGGAAGGCGAAGGGTCGGAAGGGCAAGAAGCCCGAGGGAAAAGGGAAAGGTAAGGTAGTTAGGTCGCATCTTACCCTAGAGGAGCGACGTGATAAAATGCGTTCCCTTGAGGCGCAACCGAAGTGCCTACGATGTGGAGCCATTGGCCACTGGGCCGGTGACGTACCCCGAAGGGAGGAAAGGCACAGGGCAAGCAAGCCCACATCGCAATCGCCCAGCCGCGGCGAGATGATGATGGAGGCTTGTGTGTCCCATCAGGCAACGACGCTGAACCACACGCCAACATATGGTCAGCGATCTTAGCACAAGCTCCAAGGCTGCTCCCGCAGCCCAGCTGGCAGCATGCAGATGGAAGGTGATGATCGCAGGTTTACCTTAGGCCAACAGAAGGGCAGTACTTACGAGGAGATTTCCCATAAGTTAGAATACGTCACTCGGGCTATGGCGCAGCCAAATCCCGCGGCACAGAACTTCCTAACCTGGCTTCATAGATGTTGGTCTGCCCCCACAACGCCACGGGCCATAGAGGAAGTTCTAGGAGTACTTCCAGGCGTTGTTCAAGCCATAACGGCTGATGACGCAACCGCCGACCTCAACCCGGAGGAGGTGGAAGCTGTGCTAGGTCCTGGAACAGACGCAAGCAACCGCTTCGGAAGAGCGAGTTCATCCGACGGATCTCCATGAATGGCTGTGTGAGGCCATGATGACAGTGATGGACCAGAGTCCCGGAAACCCGTGGAGATTCGTTCCCGTGGCACTTCTGGGGTGAGGCCGGGAAAGGGGAAGTCAGAGACTCCCCCAAAGCACTCCGCAGCGCCCAGCCGTGGAGCGAGATGAAGTGGACGAAGGGATCCTGACCTCTGGCTACGCGTAGGGATGAAGAGCCCGACTCGATCACCAGGCGCGAGTCTGCGCGGGCGGCCCCGGCGGAGGGGGCATTGACTGCACAACCGCTATCTGAACAATGCACCCGCGGTGCCGCACGACCGCGGCCCCACACCATAGGACCGTGATGCGGAAACCTGCGTCACGTGAGGCAATGGAGACAGGCGGCTTGTGAAGAAGCCATGCAGAAGCAACGCCTGGAACTCCAGAGAGTCCAGATGCTTGGAATGCCGGCCCCAAGCAGACCCGAGCCGCAAAGGAGAATCTTTAGGGGTCTCCTGCCGCGAGCCAAAATACCAAGACCGATGCAAGTAAGCACAAGGACCACGGAGCGGGTGCGTGGGTCAGGGCAAGTGGTGCTCCGGAACCTTTAACCTCCAGCCCTCATCAGGCATTTTCGAGGAACATAGCCCGTTGCGGGATTGTCTGGTCAGCTTTTGTATCCATAGTAATTTTGCCTCTGGTTGATGTGTGGGGCCCAGGCGAGGCCCATCTATGGGGTGCGCTAGACGAGAGTTGCAGCTCTATGTGTCATTGTGCAGCCTGGGGTAAATTAGCCCAGAAGTGCCTCAAAGCGCTCGGCTTGAGCTTCCCGTGAGTTGACTGGGTTGACAGCAAGGCCAGGTCATTCGCTGGTCTAGGCGCAACCATCGAAAAGGGAGACACTGCCCTAGGAAGAGTGTGAGAGCGCCATGAGATAGATACCAAGCTCCGAACACCCTTTTGCTCAGCCTGTCTGCGCGCAGTACTTTAGGACTCATCATTTGGATGAAGTCGTGTACCTGCGAGGTGCACGACGCCGACGGCCCAAAGGCTACGATTCCTTTAGCCAGGTGTTCCGAGACAAGCCTACTTCTGAAAGGACTTACTCCCTCGTGTGCACTGGATATACTGGTACCCAGCCAAACGCCGAACCTCGGGTACCCGTGTGGACCCGACAGCTTTCGCACTGGTCGTCCTGCTGAGCAATGGCCCAACCTAGTCGTGTGGACAGGTGGGTGCAAGTGTCAGTTCGACAACCAGAACAGAGATCACCAAATCCATGATTGGCATGCCTGGGAGGATCACATCCCCCAAAAATACAGAGTTATCCTTCACGATGTGCGTGCTCTCCGCAACCCGGACAAGGGAGAGTTTCACGCCGGCCTTGGGGACGTCGCCCAGAAACCATTGATCAGGTTTGCGGGCAGCAGTCTGGGAGATATCTACTGAGCACAATTTTCAGAGATATCGAGCCGCATTAGGGCATGAACCTGGTGAATTTGTAATTTGGTGTGCTGTACCTCGAACAGACAAGTGGTGCAGGTGTAGGTTGACAGCAAGGCTTTGAAGAGCTTAGAGACGCACCGACGCGGGACGTCGAAGAGGAAGAAGAGAGGCTTTGAAGAGGACGCAGGAGAAGGATCTATCTTTGAAGAAAACGAAAACGAGGTCGAGGAGCATCTTTATTCTAGGTCGCCACCTCCCGCAGCAGCTATACGAGGTCAAGGCGAGCTAGCGTCGCTGAGCCGGAGGCGGAAAGAACGCTGAATAGTAGAAGACACAGTAGATCGGATCTTCTGGATGACTTGCCGACGTGCCTGCATCTATCAGAAGACGATTTGACGAGAGACGCGCAGCAGAAGGTGCCCGCATGAGTATTCGTAAGAAACTCATAAGTTTCTGGAGAAACCGTTCTCTTGCCAGAGAACAGGTTGAGCAGGAACTCAGAGACCTCCCTGAATCTCTGAAGTACTTGGAGGCGTCCCCGTCCGTACGATGGAGGATGGACTGAAGCCGTGGAAAGGAGTGGAAGAAGTACGTATTTGCTTGGACTTCCAGGCTGCCATACCTATCAGGGGTCGCGAGCTTCAGGAGCCTTTAGGCGCAGGTCGCATGCCCGTCAAAAAGGGTGGACGCGCTGAAGAACTATCATGAGCACCTTAAGCCAGATTATGAACCGGAGTTCAAATCTAGGCTAGTGTCATGTGGGAACTTTGAAGATTCCACAGAGGTACGGACTGATCCCCTAGCTCGGATCTCGAGATGCATGCGCTTGTACCGGCGTTTGCTGCATCCCACGGTGTTCCCGTCGAATCGTCAGATATATGCAACGTGTATTTCCAGGCAGAACCGATTGACAGGGTTGTACTGGTGAGACAACCAAGTGGTGGTCTGCCCCACGTTGATCCAGATGCTCTGCTCTTGCTCAGAATACCTGTTTATGGACTGTGCGATAGCGGCAGAGGCTTCTGGCGCACGGTCGACAGCGAGGCCAGGTCTGTAGGCTTCCAGGTGAGTCGCATCTTCGCCGCATTCTACTGTTACAGAGAAGACGGAAGGGTGATGTGTGTGTTTACCACACACGTGGAGGACTTGTATGGGCGTCCACCTAAAGAGGCGGCAAGATCATCGATCACCTACTTGCGAAGTTCGAAGTAGGACGACGAGAACAAGGCCGACTTAGGCTTTGCGCAAGCAGTTCGACAAAAGCGGTGGAGACGAAACAACAAATCACGACAAAAAGCCTCGGTCCGTCTCGGAACTGGCGGGCTGACTGGCGGGGGAAGTGGTGGGGCAACCCGTGGTGGGGCAACCGGCGAGGTCGCTTCGACTTCGGAAGGCGGCTTCCACGGAACAAGCTGCAACAGGTTCACTTCAGCAGCCCCCTCGGACTTGGACTCCAGTTCGAAAGTCAACTGGAGGTCCACCTTCTCTAAGCAAAGCTCCAGTTTGAGCTGCTCAGCTCGGGTAAGCAACCGCCACAACCTCGACCTCAGCTTGTCATCCTGCTTGACCTGC